GCCGCATGTGGTTTATTTTCTTTTTCTTTCTTTTGTTTTTTTTGTTTTTTTTGTTTTTTTTGGTTTTTTTTTTGAGAAGGAGTCTTGCTCTGTCGCCCAGGCTGGAGTGCAGTGGCGCAATCTCGGCTCACTGCAAGCTCCACCTCCTGGGTTCACATCATTCTCCTGCCTCAACCTCCCAAGTAGCTGGGACTACAGGCGCCCGCTACCACATGCCGCTAATTTTTTGTATTTTCAGTAGAGACGGGGTTTCACCGTGTTAGCCAGGATGGTCTCCATCTCCTGACATTGTGATCCACCTGCCTCAGCCTCCCAAAGTGCTGGGATTACAGGCGTGAGCCACCATGCCTGGCCATGTGGTTTATTTTCTAATGTGGGTTTGAATAAATGCAATACAGTACAAACAGCATATTTAAGTGGATAGTGGAATTAGAGAAATGTTTGAAGTCAGACTGACTTGAGCTCAAATTTCCTTCACAACTTAAGAGTTATGAGGCCTTAGACAAGCATCCCAACCTTGTTGAGACTAGTATTCTCATCTGCAAAATGGAATAATATTAATGCCATATTTGAAATCTTGTAGGGATTAGAGAATGCATATAAAAGGATTATAAACATATTAGGCACTCATTACAAGGAAGTTATTACTATTTCTTCTCTTAATTATTTCCTTCCTTGGGACCCTTTTCTCCCCTGTAATTTTATCCTTATAGTTTAGTATGCTTTTTCTTTTTTTAGTTAAACAGTTAAAGTTTATGAATTTGTTTCTCAATCCTGCTTGGCCTCCTTTCATGCTTTGATAAGTACTCATTATTTTCTAAATGACGTATTACAGCCATTTCTCAATATCTGAATGATATTGGTTCCAGGAGCCCACTGCAGATGCCAAAATTTGTGGATGCTCAAGTCCCTGATATAAAATGGTGTAGTATTATATACTACCTACATATGTCCTCCCATATACTGTTTTTTTTTTAAAAAAAAAACAAACAAACAGTGTCTCGCTCTGTCGACCAGGCTGCAGTACAGTGGCACGATCCCAGCTCACTGCAACCTTTGCCTCCCAGGTTCAAGCGATTCTCCTGCCTCAGCCTCCTGAGTAGCTGGGATTACAGGTGCATGCCACCATGTCCTGCTAGTTTTTTTGTATTTTTAGTAGAGACGGGGTTTCACCGTGTTGGCCAGACTGGTCTCGAACTCCTGACCTCAGGTGTTCTGCCCGCCTTGGCCTCCCAAAGTACTGGGATTACAGACATGAGCCACCGCACCCAGCCCCATATACTTTAAATCATTTCTAGATATAATATCTAGCACAATGTAAATGGTTATTATATTGTTTGGGGAATAATGATAAGAAAAAAAAGTCTATACATGTCAGTTACAGGCCTAACTACATAGTACACACCAGCAACAACATAAACTTTTCTGGATTTTTTTCTGAATATTTTTGATTTACAGTTGGTTGCATCTGCAGATGCGGAACCCACGGATAGGGAAGGCTGACTGTTTTCTATTGTTAATCTTCTCCTTTGTCTAGTCATTACAATACTCCTTTCTTTTTTTTAATTTTTTTTAGATGATGTCTTACTCTTGTCCACCAGGCTGGAGTGCAATGGCGCGATCTTGGCTCACTGCAACCTCTGCCTCCTGGGTTCAAGTGATTCTCCTGCCTCAGCCTCTGGAGTAGCTGGGGTTACAGGCACCCACCACCACGCCCGGCTAATTTTTGTATTTTTAGTAGAGATGAGGTTTCGTCATGTTGGCCAGGCTGGTCTCGAACTCATGACCTCAGGTGTTCCACCTACCTCGGCCTCCCAAAGTGCTGGGATTATAGGCTTCAGCCACTACACCTGGCCTAGAATACTTCTAAAAAAAAATCCAAATAGTTGGGGGTATTTTGGGTTATAATTTAAATAAACTACTTTTAGTTGTATTGCATTGTGATTAGGAAATGTGGCCTACCCAACTTCTGTTTTTGTGAATTTATTGAGATTTTCTTTATTTCTGACTACATGATTCATAGCTGGTAAATGTTCTATGCAGCTCTCAGAGAGGATTTATTTTCTGTAGAATAGAGTAGTATCAGGGGCCTCAGCTAGATCGATATTCAGGTTCAGTGATGCCAGAGCGCAAGTTGGGCAACCTCCTGGGAAACCAGCTATGGGCCAGATGTGGCAAGAAGCCATGTGGGCAGCTGGGCGCAGTGCCTCACGCGTGTAATCCTGGCACTTTGGGAGGCCAAGGCGGGTGGATCACCTGAGGTCAGGAATTCGAGACCAATCTGACCAGTATGATGAAATCCCATCTCTACTAAAAATACAAAAATTAGCCTGGCATGGTGGCAGGCACCTGTTATCCCAGCTACTTGGGAGGCTGAGACAGGAGAATCACTTGAACCCGGAGGCAGAGGTTGCAGTGAGCCGAGATCGAGATGGCGCCACTGCACTCCAGCCTGGGCAACAAGAGCGAAACTCCATCTGAAAAAAAAAAAAAAAAAGCCATGTGGGCAACAACTCAAAATCTGTCCAAACTGCGGTTGAAGCATATACAGGCACAGTTAGTGAACACGGATGCTGGGGAGTCCATTTGGATTCCTGGGTGGAATTAGACAGTTAAGCAATAAATTGGCTGGGGAACTGGTCTTTAGAGCAAGGCTGTGCTACCAGGTGCAAGCACATAGGAACATTGATGTGCCCTGGGACTTCCCTCTTTAGCTCCGGGATCTAGGTAGCAGAAGTGATAAAATTGTCCCCATTGCCTAGGAGATGCTGTTGCTTTCTTTCCTTGTCTCTCCCAAGCAGGAAGAGAAGCTCAGGGGTGGCTCCCTGCTAAAGCAGGCAGATACGGTAGTTATAGAAATCAGTGACATTATAGGAGAACACTGGCATGAATTGTATGCCAGGCAAGTCCCCTCTACTGTCAGTGGAGAGGCCTGAGCACTGGTGCTTGGCCGAGGAAGAAGAGGGCAGATGACAGGAGTCTGCTGCTGCGGCAATCAGAGCTGATGTGCACTGGGCATCCACACTGGAGCAGACACTGTTCAGGGCTTTCTATGCATTATCACAGGCAGCTGTTCCATTATCCCATTTTACTCATGAGGAAACTGAGGTTCAGAGAGACAAAAGATTTCCTTTTATTAAGTGAACAGAAGAGCCAAGAAGTGAACCTGTCTGTGTGACTCCAGTGCTTTATCCTTTATGCTATGTTGCTTTTTTCCCCAAAGATCCAGGGACCAGCTATTAAAGGGCCACATCCAAGATCCTAGCCTTGGAAAGGTTATAATAGATACATATAAATACAGATTATTTTTTAAGATTGTATTGCTCAAATATATTACCAAGCTTGAGGAGCATCTGTTTGATCTGTCAGAGACTGAAATGGCTCATGAAAATTGTATTTCTGCGGTATCTTTTTCATTCTAATGGTTTTAGCTCTAGATCTTTGGTTGCTGCTTTCTTTGATACATGGCAGTTTGCCATTGTGAGGACTTCCATTTTTTTCTGGCATGTTTATAGAAGTACTGCTTTACCTGCTGATTATACCTCACAGGTTGAAAGTACACATGCATTCACATACACATCCAAAGGTTTTTCAGCATATTCTGCCACCCCTGCAGTTCTGGGACCATCCATCACAGTTGCACAGACTCTTGCTTAAGTGTGATATGATCATGATATGGTGATCACAGGCCATCTTGTAATCTGTATCAAAAGCATCTTACGTCAATATTTTCTCTTCCCAGATCCAAAAGGGAAAGGATTACTATTTCTCTACACCACCTCTGCTATCTCTTAAAATGTGGATAATTGTTCAGTGTCTCTAAATGCCTCATGGGTCCACAGATTCATTTTTAATGATTTAAACATACTGGTTTTTTTGTTTTTGTTGTTGTTATTGTTTTGAGATGGAGTCTCGCTCTGTCACCCAGGCTGGAATGCAGTGTCATGATCTTGGCTCACTGCAAGCTCCGCCTCCCAGGTTCACACCATTCTCCTGCCTCAGCCTCCCGAGTAGCTGAGACTACAGGCGTCCAGCACCACGCCCGGCTAATTTTTTGTATTTTTAGTAGAGACGGGGTTTCGCCGTGTTAGCCAGGATGGTCTCGATCTCCTGACCTCGTGATCTGTCCGCCTCGGCCTCCCAAAGTGCTGGGATTACAGGCGTGAACCACCATACTCAGCCCAAACAGACTTTTCAGTAGTTCCTGGTTAAGTCAGTTATCACCTTTTTGCAATAAAGAGACCACTGGCTACTTTTGTGTGTGGACATTCCAGAGGATGTTCAAGAGTGACCCAGATCCAGATGTAGTTTCATATTCCCTGAAACATGCATACTAAAACGTATTTATCACCTTCAGACATACAATGATGAGGAATCTTTGAACACCTGGTAAAATCCTCAAAAAACGAAATCAATCCTACTAAGCGACTGGACAAGTTAAAATGTCTAAAACACCACACCAGCTTCCAAAAACAGTTGGATGATAATCCACAAAGTCTGTTATTGTTATTGCATGATCACCTTCATTTTCCAAGAAGCTTTCAAGTCCCTTCCATACTAAGACTAGTAGATGAAACAGTGATTGAACCTGGACTTGGAGTTGTTATTCTAATCTTAAAGAATCTGAAGCTCCTTGTAAAGTAGCTGGCTCTCTGCCTGCAGGAATGACCTTCTGTCCTCCAGTGCCTCCCTTATCCAAGATGCCCTGAGTATAACACTTCTGGCCATTGTAACTATTGGACTTTTTGACATAAGTTGTTGATTTATTAGCAGGGATTTGTATACTTTGGGTGCATGAATTTTCTTGTGGTTTAGATTTGTTATTTTTAGATAAATATCCTCTTGAACCAAGGTAACAGATGTATGAAGACAAGAGGCTGATGCTGAGATGCAAGATTGCCCTGTCTGACTTGAAAAGAAGATGGAAAATATGTATTTTCTGTAGACTGGCTTGACTTCAAAAAGGATCTTTCAGGTCATTTAAAATTTCTTCTTTCAAGATTTAGGTAAGAAAAGATTGCCACAAAACATGGATCATTGAGATATGAATCAACTGCTGTCCAGTCCATCATGACTTCCTCATCATAGACAAGGAAATTACATGGTAAATTTTTTTTCAACTATTTATTCCTGCCTCAGCCTCCCGAGTAGCTGGGATTACAGGCACACGATGCCACGCCCGGCTAATTTTTTGTGTTTTTAGTAGAGACGGGGTTTCACCATGTTAGCCAGGATGGTCTCGATCTCCTGACCTTGTGATCCACCCACCTCGGCCTCCCAAAGTGCTGGGATTACAGGCATGAGCCACCGTGCCCCGCCAGGGCTTCGTAGCATTTCATGGTGTATGTGTACTACATTTTCTTTGTCCACCCACCATCGATGGGCACCTAGGTTGATTCTATGTCTTTGCTAGACAATTACACTTTTGATACCCAGAGTGAGCGACTTGAGATGAGAACCTCCATTGCAGAATTCTGGAAGTTATTTGTATTTATTCATGTTGCGGGAAGATGCTACTTTTCATTTCCCAGGAAGGCAAACTTTGACAAGGATCCTTCTAAGGTAAGGCAGAACTTTCCAGGCTTGTTCAGCTGAGATCAAATTCTGTATTCCCCGAAGTAGGAGGATGCAGCTCTTTCCAACTCCTGACAGATATCTTCATCTGTTTAACAGGTAGAGTCAGAACCCTGGGCTCCCACTTAGACACGGAGGGATATGTGGTGGATCTTGAACACCATTTGCTTGCTTTCTTTGCTGCTCTATTTCCATCAGTGAATGGAATATTCCTTGCAACATCTAGGTTATGTACTAGTAGGATATCTAAATTAAATGAAGGCAATGAGTAGTTCATATACATTGAGAGTCTTGCCTAAATGGGCAAGTAGATGAGAAGGCTGGAGAAGGTCAGAGGCTCCTCCTTGGCCTGTCTTCACTTTTGGTATAACTTTTAGATTTAGTAAGTCTCACTGGTCTAGGATAATTAGGACGTAGTCTAGATCTTCTACGTGCCTTCACCAAGTTGGACTTTTCTTTTTTTTTTTTTTGAGACAGAATCTCACTCTGTCACCCAGGCTGGAGTGACACAATCTCAGCTCACTGCAAGCTCCGCCTCCCAGGTTCACGCCATTCTCCTGCCTCAGCCTCCCGAGCAGCTGGGATCACAGGCGCCCACCACCGCGCCTGGCTAATTTTTTTGTATTTTTAGTAGAGACGGGGTTTCACCGTGTTAGCCGGGATGGTCTCAATCTCCTGATCTTGTGATCCGCCCGCCTTGGCCTCCCAAAGTGCTGGGATTACAGGCGTGAGCCACCGTGCCCAGCCAACATTAGACTTTTCTTATTGGTTAGCCTATCATCCCATGTCTAGTATGCCATTTGTCAAAGGACTACTCATGCTATTCATCTTCATCACAATTTCTTCATCTAAATCATTCTCAGCAGACGGTGTTGAAATGCTTTGGAATCACCTTCTTCCTCCTCTTACTATTTTATGTATTGTTCAGTCTCCGCAACCAAAAGAGAGATGAATAAAATCCTTTTGCAACATCAGTTTTGTTTTTCAAAAGGTTTCACTGAAAAGCTGCTGTTCATATGTTGAAGCCTCTTGAAATTTTGCTATACAAAATCTCATTTATAGAATTACCAAATTTATAGAATGAAATTACTTCCTTTAACACTTCATTCACCTTTTCCCCCTGCCTGGAATGCCTGTTGTCATCTGCCTGGTAAGTTCGTGCTTAAAGGACGATTTAACTATCATCTCCCAGCAAGCCCTTTAAAGAAACTTCCTTTCCTCTACTCAGCTGAGTTTGTTTTGTTTTGTTTTGTTTTGTTTTTTGAGACAGAGTCTCACTGTGTCACCTAGGCTGGAGTGCAGTGGCCCCATCTCAGCTCACTGCAACCTCCGCCTCCCGGGTTCACACGATACTCCTGCCTCAGCCTCCTGAGTAGCTGGGATTACAAGTGCCTGCCACCATGCCTGGCTAATTTTTGTACTTTTAGTAGAGAGAAGGTTTCACCGTATTGGCCAGACTGGTCTCGAACTTCTACTTCAGGTGATCCACCTGACTCAGTCTCCCAAAGTGCTGGGATTACAGGCATGAGCCACTGCACCCATCCGCACTCAGCTCTTCTCTACTGCTATAGAACCTCTGCTTTAGGAAGCCTTTTTTCCTCTGTGTTTCAGCATATTTTGTACATACCATTTCTATGGCACGTATATTATATCACAGTTGATTATCCCACAGCCCAGATTCAGAACTTCTGGGGACTGTGTCTTCTTCTCTCTGTCATTATAACCTAGTTCAGAATCTGGTGTACTTAGCATCTGCGCACAGATTTGTGCAGGTATCTATTTGCATGAGTGCATGACAAGCTTTAAGGAAAAAGACCAGACCAAAGTCAGGCAAGGAAGATGGGGAAGACAGTAAAATGTCTGTTCCCTAAGACCTAGGCTTGATCCCTTTTCAGGAGAGGGGTTTTAGCCAAAAATGAAAGAGCTGCTTCCTTAAAGATTTTCTAGGACTTTTGGCACTGTCAGGGCTACCCTGGAACCCAGAAAGCTCTGTGCAGTACACGCCTGGGGAGAAGGGTGCCACCCATTTCTCCACCATCACTGTCTGGTTCTGGGGGTGCAGAGATGCACTGAAAGAACTTCATGACAATTTGTTACCTTGAGGTACCAAAACACAGCTTTGCAAACTCCCAGAGACAGTGCTCTCGGAAGAAGAAATCTCATCGATTGCTGCAGCACCAAAAATAACGGCAGTGACAAAGTCCAGGCTCTCTTGGAAGTGATCTGCAGGCGGCCAACATTGAAAACAAGGCCAGCCAAGAGGTTGAGGCTGCAGTGAGCTATGATCTTGTCATTGCACTCTAGCCTGGGTGACAAAGCAAGACCTTGTCTCTGAAACAAAAAAACAAAATAGGCCGGGCACAGTGGCTAACACCTGTAATCCTAACACTTTGGGAGGCTGAGGCAGGCGGATCACCTGAAGTCAGGAGTTCGAGATGAGCCTGGCCAACATAGTAAAACCCTGTCTCTACTAAAAATACAAACATTAGCTGGGCATGGTGGCGCACACCTGTAATCCCAGCTACTCAGGAGGCTGAGGCAGGAGAATCGCTCGAATCCGGGAGATGGAGGCTGCAGTGAGCCGAGATGGTACCACTGCATTCCAGCCTGGGAGACAGAGCAAGACTCCATCTCAAAAAACAAACAAACGAAAACAAAACAAGAAAACCAACAACAACAACAAAATTGTTTTTAACTTAAAAAATCAACAATTTTAAAAAATTAAAAAGAGACCAGAGGAGAGTACTGTGAGCACTCAGAGCCCCTCAGAAAACTCCCAGGACAGACGGAAAGACTTGGGGACAGAGGTTAACGACCAGCCCTCTGCAGGTGGGGCCACCCCGCCAGCACCATTGGGTTTAAAGAGAACATCACCTAATTTGTACTGTCTGGCGGGGCCTAGGAAATCCTGGGTTACAACTGAATAATAGTTTCATCATTTTGAATAGGGGATATACATAAGATGCTAAAAATCACATGCATATTAGAATTATGATTTGATTAAGTGCCTTTATAGACATGTCAAAACATTGATTAGGTGGCTCAGGGGAAGAGAAAGTTTCCCATTTCCTGAGCTTACCACCATGGAATCAATCATTTGAGTGGGCACTGAGCATGGAGTGTTCACCTTGAAAGATGAAAGTCCACAAGAGAAATGTGTTTGACAGGAGGTGGAGGAAAGGGCGGCTGTCTGGCTGCCAGAGACTTCAAAAGGGAATTTACCTTGGTGATTTCCCCGTAGTCTAGGGGCTGGCCCTTAGTTTTTCAGGTTCAGAAACTGAGAAAATTGGTTTTGTCAGCACACGGAGGTAAGATCGGTTTATCAGGCTCTCGGTCATACTCGCCAAGTTCACAAGAGACGGGTGTGTAAATCAAAATGCCACGTTATTAATTTACAATGACAAGTAAAATCAGGCAAGAGATCAGACACACATCCTGTTTCAAGCCCATTCTCTCCGTGTGGTGCAATCTAGGTGGGAAGTCAAATGATCATCAGAAGACAGTTTGGAGAGGCTGGAATCAGAGTGAGAAGAGGGAGCCGGCGGCCCGATTGGAAAGTTAAATGAAGCTGATGCTTCACTCTCCACCAAAGGGATAGGATTTTCCAGACAGGTCACTCACTCCCACACAGACCTGGAGGTACATGACCCCCTCTTCCTCCTGGACACTGTTTTGTCCTGTGCTGGGCACACCTCTTGTGCTGGACATGTTCTTTGTTCTGCAGTGTCAATTCCATGGATTACGTTACAGCCCAGTTCTTGATCTTCTTTGACCTTGTCTCCACCCCGCCTACCAAGTGAAGCCAGGAAATGGACAGCTGTCCCAGAGTGACCCTAACTGAAGGTGTGCAGTGGCTATCATGTTCTGCTGAAGTTAGGAAATGTCATGTGATCATGTGTGATCTGTGTATAAACCAAACAACCTTGCCACCGCCAACCCAGGCTTCGCCTGCCAATCTTTGGGGCAGGTCCAGTGGTGCAGAGGCTAATGAATTGATAATGATGGGTGATCAATACCTTTATCTCAGAATAGGGGCTGCCTCTTCTCTGTAAACCATTTGCTACCTTAATTGAACCCAGGGTAAGCTGCGGTTGGGAGCCGAATTGATGAGCGCACTGCTGGAGTCCTAGAATTACAGGCTCATTCTCTGCATTGGCACTCAGACATGACACCTGAAATGCTCAGGATGTTAGCTGACACCTTTGTGAAAAGGAAAAACTATCCTAAAGGTAACGGCTTTGGTTTGGTTTGTGGGGAAAGAAATCTTCCCTGCCTTCATAGCTTTCAGTGCTGCCTGTTTGTGCTAATGTGTTCTGACGTCCTCAGCTCAGCACTTCCTAAGACACCTCCCTCACCAACAGGATGGCCATGTCAGCCTCCACTGGGCTTAAATTATACGAATACACAGCAATGCAGAGAGCTTGCCATGTGCTAGACTCTCTTTGCAGCACTTTACATATTAATTCCTTCAACTTTCACAATAATCCTGTGATGTTTGCCACTATGTCTGCCTTCATATTATAGATGGAGAAAGGAGACATGGAAATTAAGTAACTTGCTCAAGGTCACTAGCTAATAAGTAGCAGGGCCAGAATCTAACCCATTAGCCCAGCTTCCTATCCACAGTGGTAAACAGAGCTGAAAGGTTTCTTTTTTCTTTTTCTTTTCTTTTTTTTTTTTTTTTTGAGATGGAGTCTCGCTCTGTCACCCAGGCTGGAGTGCAGTGGTGCGATCTCGGCTCACTGCAAGCTTCGCCTCCCGGGTTCACGCCATTCTCCTGCCTCAGCCTCCCAAGTAGCTGGGACTACAGGTGCTCACCACCGCATCCGGCTAGTTTTCTTAAAAAATATTTTTAATAGAAACGGGGTTTCACCGTGTTAGTCAGAATGATCTCAATCTCCTGACCTTGTGATCTGCCTGTCTCTGCCTCCCAAAGTACTGGTATTACAAGCGCGAGCCACCGCACGTGGCCCAGAGCTGAAAGGTTTCTGTACATGTATTCAATTCTCCCCGTATTAAATTTTAGCTGATGATGCTAAAGTTGCCATCTGGGTTTCCAGGAATCTGCTTGAAAATTGGGGTATATTGGCTGGGCGTGGTGGCTGATGCCTGTAATCCCAGCACTTTGGGAGGTCGAGGTGGGCGGATCATGAGGTCAGGAAATCGAGACCATCCTGGCTAACACAGTGAAACCCCATCTCTACTGCAAATACAAAAAAACTAGCCAGGCGCGGTGGCGGGCGCCTGTAGTCCCAGCTACTCGGGAGGCTGAGGCAGGAGAATGATGTGAACCCGGGAGGGGGAGCTTGCAGTGAGTGGAGACTCGAACCACTGCACTCCGCCTGAGGTGACAGAGTGAGACTGCCAATCTCAGGAAAAGAAAAAAAAAAAAATCGGGGTATATTAACAACATATATTTGCTTCTGCTGTTTGTCTATTCTTGGATAAATGATTAATCTCCCTGGAAGTCAGTTTGTTTAAACTCAGGGCAGTAGACTACAGAATGTCTAAGCTCCCTTCTAGTCTTGACTTTCTGAGTTTACTACCGTGGTCACCACTGCCCCAATACTACTACTTTGTATTTGCATGGAGTTTGACATTGTACATAATAATGGAATTCAACAATGTACATAATAATGGAGTTTAACAATGTACATAATAATGTACATACCTACATTTTATTTTATCATTAAATGGCCACTGAGCTAAAAGGTAGTTTTTATTTACTTATCTGTTTCCAGAGATAGCTGGTATAGTGCTGTGCATAGTAGGTACTTCTGATTTGCTTACTAACTTGAACTGATTCTCACTATAATCCTGTAAGATGGGCATGGAACATTATTATGTTCACTGTACAGATGAACAAACTAATGATTAGGGGGGCTTAATAAGTGACCTAAAATCATAGAGTTCCTTTTAAGCTCTCCTTTATTTCCTTTCATCCATCCCTCAGTGGCATGGTGAATGCACCTGTCCTCCTACAGAAACAAATTCTCAAGCAATAAACAACAGTACAGAGTTTATTTCCTAGGCAGCTGTCTGCCAGAGAAACAAGAAGATTATGCCTGGCATAATGTGTAACTTTTCTAGCTACTCCTTTAACAGAACAAATTGTCCTAAGGTGGTTTTTGGGGAGCTATGAAGCGACTGAATGCTGTGAGTACATGTCATTTTCAAATTGCATAATTGGTAGCTAAAGATGAACTTCTGATTGCATTTTGTTTACTGAATTAGAACTTCTCAGTGTTGAACAATGATTCATGCAACATCGCTCAGGAGCTTTGTGCAATAAAAAGATAGCTCAAGTGACTCAGACTTCAACATCTTACAGTGTGTATATGTGACTCCTTTTTTGTTATGGGGTAAAGCAGTCCAAACTTCTGCAAACCACAAATCTAATAGAGATGAAAACAGCAAGTTAAATATTGGATCCAAGTTAAAAATTTGGTTAAGTAGGGTGTTATATAGATTCATTAATGACTTTTGCCACCAAAATTTTTCCAAAGACATACTCTTTGCACATGGAGGACAAGAGCACTAATGATCTTAAAATCATCCTGAAGTTTAATTCCCTGAGGTTCTGTTCTCTGGGAACTGTTTAGCTCTTCCACGCTTCACATCCTCCAGACTTTCAAAGGGATGTCGGCCTCAGATGGGATGATCCTCTGGGAAAACAGAGCTCCATAAATACATCAAGTCTTATTATCAGCATGAAATACCCTTTCTGATGATGCCTGGGGGTAGTGAGGATCGGAACACAGGAGGAAAGGAAAGGGCGGAAAGAAATGAGAGCTGAAAGAGCCCTGTTAGCTGGAACACGGCCCACGGCCCATCCAAAGGAAAAGCGTAGACATTTATGTTTGGCTATTAGTTATCTGTGTGCTTGCTCTTCTTCCTCATGAAATAGCTGGACTCCTCTGCAACTGCTGTGCTTTTTCTCTCCTTGTTTCTTTTCTTTTTCTTTTAATTTTTTTTTTTTTTTTGAGACGGAGTCCCACTCTGTCTCCCAGGCTGGAGTGCAGTGGCGCGATCTCAGCTCACTGTAAGCTCCGCCTCCCAGGTTCACGCCATCCTCCTGCCTCAGCCTCCCGAGTAACTGGGAATACAGGCACCCGCCACCACGCCCGGCTAATTTTTTGTATTTTTAGTAGAGACAGGGTTTCACCATGTTAGCCAGGATGGTCTTGATCTCGTAACCTCGTGACCACCTGCCTCAGCCTCCCAAAGTGCTGGGATTACAGGCGTGAGCCACCGCGCCTAGCCAACTGCTGTGCTTTTTCAAAAATGCCTTTGTGGGGCAAGAAATAAATATCTAGACATAGTTCTAGTGGGATATTATATATCCCATTCACTCACGGAAGTTCCTAGGCTCAGCTAATAGATTGTGAGCCACTTGAGGGCAGGGACATTTTGTTTGACATCTCTAGCTCCTTTTTTCTCTGAATTCCTTCTTACTCTCCACAATCAGGTTCACGTTGTTTCTTGAAGGAATCTTCAGCTGAGTTCTAAATACTTTTTTAATTAGAAAATAAGGTGTAGGTCAGGTGCAGTGGCCCACGCATGTAATCCCAGTACTTTGGGAGGCTGAGGCAGGAGGACTGCTTGAGCCCAGGAGTTCGAGACTAGGCTGGGCAACATAGGGAGACTCCATCTCTACAAAATAAAAAACTAGTGGGCATGGTGGCCCGCACCTATAATCCCAGCTACTCAAGAGGCTGAGATGGGAGGAGATCACTTGAGCCTGGGAGGTCGAGGCTGCAGTGAGCCATGATTGCATCACTGCACTCCAGCCTGGGTGAAGGAGTGAAATCCCATCTCACAGAAAAAAAAGAAAAAGAAGAAAGAAAATAATGTAATAATATGTCTTCCATAAATAACATTTCAGTTCACATGTTCAAGAGCTGCTGAAGGGTAATAAAATTCGGTATTTTATGGCTTTTGTTGCCATTGTGGGTTAATTTTTGTCTTCACATTGTATCTGTTAATTGGTTATTTCTTATAGGAATACTTATTATTTATTAATTTATTATTTTTGAGACCAGGTCTTGCTCTGTCCACCAGGTTACATTGCAGTGGCATGATCACTGCTCACTGTAGCCTCAACCTCCTGGGCTCAGGTGATGCTCCCACTTCCGACTCTCGAGTAGCTGGGGCTACAGGTGTGTGCCACCGTGCCCAGCTAGTTTTTGTATTTTTAGTAGAGACAGGGTTTGCCATGTTGCCCAAGCTGGTCTTGAACTTTTGAGCTCAAGCAATCCATCCACCTCAGCCTCCCAAAGTGCTGGGATTACAGGTGCGAAACACCACGCCCAGCCTCTTACAGGAATACTTACTGCATCGATTAGGTATTGCTGCAAAAATGCCTCACAACAAACCACCCTGAAGCACAGTGGATTACAACCACCATCTTGCACTCTCATGGGCTGTGGGTCACATGGAGGTGGCTCACAGAGGCTGGACTCAGCCCAGTGGCTCAGCTTTAAGCCGCAGGCCCATCTGGCTGAGGAAGTTCCTGCTCCCTGGGTCTTTGTCCTTGGGCTGCAGG